GTTCGACTCATTATGGATTATTGGAGGCGCGTCACAGGGACACAACCAACTCAGCCGGCCGCGGCTTTATTTACGGATGAAAGTCGCAACAGATTCTTTTTTTTAAATTGAACTTCGTATTGCAAAGCAGGAAAACAGCAGTCATGAACATACACGTGACAGAGATGTACTTAGATGTATGGAGGTCAAGGGAGTCAAAAAAAACAAACCAAAACAAAAACAGCAACAATAATAAACAATGAAAAAGACTAGCAATCATCCCTTTGTTGCCAGGCCAAGTCCCATAAACCCAATTGCAACCTCTGAACTGAAGGAGTGTCCAAATAGGTCCCGGCGGGGTAAAAAAGGAAAGGTTTGTCCTTGAGTGCTGTAGAGAAGGCAACGATATGTGAAGAAGATCTTTGCAGCGGAAGGTGGCAGGTAGCTCATCATTTAGCCCTAACGAGCAAGTCCTTGGACCCAGATGCAGTCGGCAATTAAATATGATGCAAAGCTGGTCTATGAGTGATGGGTGCTTTGGATTCTTAAATTATGTCATTGCTTAATGTTCTGTTTCTGGTCCAAAGTTGTTTATGCTGTTATTCTTATATCCATCCATTCATTCGCTTCCACTTATCCTTTTTCAGGGTCGCGGGGGGCGCTGGAGCCTATCCCAGCTGTCATAGGGCGAGAGGCGGGGTCCACCCTGGACAGGTCGCCAGTCTGTCGCAGGGCCAACACACAGGGACAGACAACCATTCACACCTAGTGGCAATTTGGATTATCCAATTAACCTATCCCCACAAGCTGCATGTCTTTGGACGGCGGGAGGAAGCCGGAGTACCCGGAGAGAACCCACGCAAACACGGGGAGAACATGCAAACTCCACACAGAAAGACCCCGGCCTGATGGTGGAAGTGAACTCAGGACCTTCTTGCTGTGGGGCAACAGTGCTAACCACCGTGCTGCCCTGTTATTCTTATATATTAATTTAATTTTGCTGCTGTAAACTGCTGAAGCAAATAATACAGTTTCGAGTTTACTTCACTGCACCGCACTCTGTAAATAGATCAGTACATTCAATGCAACACAGCAACAAAACGATTCCCTTTTTAACTCCAGCAGCAACAGGATATCCGCATGTTCGCGATGCATAGAACAAATCGGTTCTCTGACTACATGCAGTCATCATCGACACAGCGTGGACGTGGAGGAAACGACGACAACAACAAGCACAGAGGACTAATGTTCTGTCCCCTCGTGACCTCTGTCATGGTTCATCTTCACTAGTCTGTAGTGCTGAGCGTCACAGTCCACGAACGACAGCCCGGATAAAAAACACCAGCCCAAACAAAACCCACAAGTAACAAAGTCCGCGCTGACTCTTACTGACGAACCTCGCTCTGTGATGAAATCTTCCACTGTTACACGGCAAACTCAAACATGTTCAGCCTCATAAAGTTTCCTGTTCAAACTGTATGACACTTCCCGTTATTCAGCAGTGTGTGTGTGTAAGTCAGACCAACAGCCAGTTATAGAAAATATATTAAAACTATCTTGTTTAGGAAAAGAAACGACAGATATTTAGCAGCGTAGCTCAGCTCGGAGCATCCACCCGCTGTAGCTTGGTCCCCAGCCTGCCTCCTTGCAGGGTGTAGTCGTTAGAGCCGTAATGATTGCTGAGTACAAGCCTGTTCAAAACAGTGTTATTAGCATCCAGGTTGTGCCTTATAAAGGAAATGTCGATTTACTGCCACTCGGCTATATTTATTAGCCTACTGGTGTTTCATTATAGCTTGGTATTTGTTGTATATAAAACATATTTGGTATAAGACACATTTCAACCACACAAAAGTAAGTAGTAATCACAGAAACACATAAAATAAAGGTAAAAAAAGTGAATGGATCTTTCTTACGGTACGTGACTGTGACGGAGCTCTTCTTCTCGCGAGTTTTATGGTCGTTGCCAAACTAACTTACAGGAGCGTTGCTGCCACCTACTGGAATTTGGACGAGAGTGCAGCAGGAGAAAACAAAAAACAAAAGAGAATAACGACATTCATCTTCATTGGCCAGTTATGTGTACACACGCAAGGAACTGAGCCCCGGATATGAGCTCAATGTACCTACAGAATAGACGAACAGGCAGCAGAAAATAACAGCATATTTTTATGGTGGAGTAGTGTTCAAAGATGCACAAAGTGCCCGTCTCTGTGTGGATATAATAGATTTGGTTGTTCTTACCACAGTGTTGGCATTGGTTGCTATAATTTCTAACTGTGGAATCCCATAGCTGATGATGTCTTCTGCTCATTACAAGAACTCGAGGACGTAACAACGCTGGATGTCCTGTGTGCACTCTTTTATACTCTGCCAAGTGCTGATTTGTATCTCTCCCTCAATCTTCCAGTCTGGACGTACAATCACCTAGTGTCAATTGGATTTAATTACATTTATCATTAGCTCATTTCTCTTCAAAATCCTGTGCCAATCACAATATACTAAATACAATTAATTTTATTAAATCATACATTTGAAAAGTCATTCATTCTTTTACATTAATGGTTTCTTAGTGTCGGAGTAAATCCCCTCCCATCATTTTCACACACACACACACACACACGCAGCAGCCTCCAAGGCATCTTCCCACACTGTCAGTGTGAGGCCTGTCATTAGAATCATTATTATATTTTCTTATTCATTCTATTGGTTAAAGGCTCCTGTAAGTGCAACACTGAGGGAACAGTTCACCCTGACCGATGTAGGGTTAAAGGGGACCCCGCTCTGGCGCCAGGCCTGCGGAGGGTGCCTGGTAGCCGGGCCTTAGCCCATGGTTCCCAGCTGGGTGCCGCCTGAAGAAGGGACATGGGACCACGATCCTGTAACCCCAGCACTTTTATATTTATCAACCTGAACATATATATATGTGGAGAAAGAACCGACAGTCATGTCTTTCTCAGAGCTGTAGCAGAACACCATCAATGTGCAAAGTCAAACTCGTAAAATTCTTACCGGTAAGTGATTTAGACTTTTTTGAACATTAACCCATTAAGTATGAGATGAACTAGGTCTGTGACAGAAGACTATTGTGGCTCTTTGAAGTTGAAGGCTGTGTTTAAAGGTTTCGACTGATATTTAATTACTTTTTCATGTGTAATTGTTGCCTGGCCTGAGTGTTCAGTTAGCTCTCTGTATATGATGGTAACAGGACACAACAAACACAACGTAAGTGTGCACGTTCCACTGCAGTGAACCCAAGCACCTGCTTATATTCCTGCACCTGCTTTGATATAAAATGAAAATGGTAGAAAAACAGCGTGGGGGAATTCTTCTGTCAATAGATTAGCAGAACAGAGGTGTCTCTGTAGTCATACTTCTATTGACATCAATGAAAACACAAAGTATCTTTGTTGTTTTATTACTTTCATTTGGCAACTTGCTCGTTGCTCCTCCATCACGATTAAACAAAAGACAGAAAACCACTAATGGCTACATACACATCCAAACTGCATCAGTATGTCATTTTACAGTACATCTCCATACTCATAAGGTACATATTAATTTACAGATAATGAGCTAGAAGTCTACACACCGGCCCTTCCTCTCCCAATCTCCATAGCGAGTTGGCTCTGGACCCCGTGGGCCCCCCTTCTCCTTCGTCACAGGGTTCACATCATCAGGGAACTCTGAAAAAATAAGAGTAATTGAGATCTTCAGTGACAGTTTTCCTTTTCTCAGTTTACAATAAGGTGAGTTTCAGACCTTTTGAAACCTCTAGACCAGGGGTGTCAAACTCCAGTCCTCGAGGGCCAGCATCCTGCTTGTTTTTGAGATATCCCTGCCCTACCTGCTGTTGATCACCTGGATCAGGTGTGCTTTGCCAATAAGAAGCTAAAAGGGCAGGTTAGTTGGAAAACAAGCAGGACAGCGGCCCTCGAGGCCTGGAAGTCGACACCTGTGCTGTAGACCAATTTGTAATGAAAATGCATATTAAATATAAAAATATACCTAGTCTAAATAAACGCACTGTCCATTCAAATGAAAATGTTTTGTTAGGAGGACTGAGCACATAGTCTAAAAATGTTTAATCCATTTCAACGACTTTGGCCGTTTCTGATTTCACTTCATGGTCATTCTGGAGATTACAGTTTGCACTTGTGAGCCATTTCTAAACTTAATCCCTATAAACACTTCCCAAAAACCAACATCCCAGATAGGGCTGCTCGATTATGGCAAAAATGATAATCACGATTATTTTCACTGACACTGAATCTCGATTATTTGACGATATTTATTTAACGATAACAATGTGTTGAATAATGACTTTAAAGATTGTCAAAAAATAATATAAAATAGTGAAAATACTGATAACAGTGCAAATGTTTGCAATATAAAAATAAATGTAAACATCTATGTTTAGTGAACTTTGCAGTGTTGCTCTGTGGTGCAGCTACTGTAGCAAAGTTTACACACTGTGTCTACTTGATCCAGTCTGACTGAACCCATAATGCTTCCACACCACTGAAGGTTTTTTTACCTCTTTTCAACCAACAGCAGTCACTCTCCTCTCCAAATAACTTCTGCTGAGCTTCCCTCGGGTCCTCTTAATTGTTGTGACGCGTGTTCGAAATGCAGAGAGGTGCGCTCGATTTGCCACACGGAGCAGCGCGAGAGTAAAGCACGAGGGAGGGGCTAATAATCGGCTCAGTCATTTTTAATGATCGTTGAAAGCCCAGATTGTAATCGAGATTAAAATTCGATTCATTGAGCAGCCCTAATCCCAGATGTCGGACAGAACGTGGATGTGACTCCTGAGTTTGTGTGTTCCAGTAACAACGTTTGAAAAGTGAGAAAAAACCATAGCATGCTCATAAAAACATTCATGTATAACTACCAATGTAGCATACTAGCTTTTAGAGCTTAAACACACTCCTGCAGCGCGTTCATGGACAGAGGCGGCTCAGTGTGCTGCTTATGGCTCACTTATTGAATCCAAAACAGTGGCAGTACAGATGAAAGTTTTACAGTCCCACTGCTGTTTAAACTCACTACCACCATCACCTTGAACTGGTCCCTCAGGGTTGGTGGGTTGACTCTGACTTTCTGAATAGGAAGTACAAACTGAAGTTCCAGATTGAAACTCTGACTGGGAGCTCTGAAATTCTGATTTTATTTGGAGCAGGACACGATTCCAGCTGCCACAGGACGAAAGGTGAGGTACACCTTGGACAGGTCATCAGCCTGTTGCAGAGCTAACAGAGAGACTGACAACCATTCACTCTCACTAACTGCATGCTTTAAGACTGTTGGAGGAGAACCCAGTACAGTGCTAACCACTGATCAACAGTTTTACTCTCCTGTTTGATCTTAATCTCTGTTCGTGTTTCTAAAGACAGAGACTGTAATAAAGAAACAGCACTTTCATTCTTCATCATCCCTGATTATTAACAGTATTATTTACAGTTTGTTCGCTGATCACTTTGGTTGTCAACTTGTTCAGTGCAGTTTGTAACTGTTTGTTAACTAGGTGCAGAAACGCTTTGTCTCTTTCTCACTTTCTAGTACATCTTTGCTCGTCTCTTCGAGGTTGTCAAACCGTCCTTTTGGGGTTTTGGCCTTCTTCAATGGCTCCTTGTCATTCACCGCTCTGCTGGCTGCCCGCAAACACCCTGAAGGAAGAGACACACTCAAGTATTAGGTTCCAGTTTATTCAATGGCGTCTTGTCTACTTTTGTTTTGTTGAAGATCTGTACCCTGGCCACTTCTTCTATGGAAAGGGCCTGACCTTCCATGATGGCTCCTGTTCTTGCTCTTCTTCTTTCTCAGGTTTCTGCTGCCTAAAATATTCACTATGCATACTATCAGTTGTACCTATCTTCCTGTATACTGGCGTTAGCACTCACTAGTCCTCGGCCACCTTCCTTCCACTTAGCATACAGACTTAGGGTGCTGGGTTTGGGGTGAAATCCTCCATGCATGGTAAGGAAGTTCCTCGTCTTGATGTCAGTGGCTTCTGTTTCCTCCTTTGGCCAGGTTATTATCCCAGCAGGGCGTAGATGTTGATTGCCTGGATCTTGTTCTTCCCATTCAGCTTACTCTGCAGATATTTGGTGGTTGTGGCTTTCCTGGCGGCCTCTTCATGGTTTCCCTTTGCCAGGGGGATTTCCAGGTACATATTGCTATCCTCAGTAATGTTCCCCTTTGCCTTCAATTACTACCTTTGCGCTCTTTGTTACCACTCAATTACATTTCTCCAGTCCAAATGACATTCTGATGTCACCGCTGCAGATGTTAGCGGCATGGATCAGTGAGTCGATGTTTCCTTCACTCCTGCCCTGTAGTGCTGTTCGCCGCATCAACACTGAGTTGCTGCTGCTCTCAGGGTACTGTTTATCTTGTACAGTTCTAGGCACTCTAGAAGCCATGTGTGAGACATACACCTTCTTGTGGTCAATCCAGGCGGTGCACAGGTTGTTCAGTCTGGTCAGTCTCGTGTGGCTGCTCCATCTAACATTAGCTTATGTTTTGCTCCTCTAGTGTGCTTGACAATTCCCTTCAGTGCCCTGATCATGTATTGAAACATGTACTGTTCATCTTAGCACTTATGATGCCTGACAGGTGCTTCCCTATTGTATTGAGGCAGGTTATTGGTGGTAGTTGGATGGGACTGGTCCCTTCTGGGGATCCTTGGGAATCATTTAGCCATTCCAAGTCAATCTTGTCCATCAGCAGCTGGTTCATTTGTACTGCCAGGTGCTCGTGGAGTGCAGTTAGCTTCTTTGTTAGCCTGGTGCTGTCCAGAGACCCTTTCCTGGATATCTGCCACTGTGACGGTTACTGGATCCTGTTCATGGAGGCTGCTGTGGTTTGCTCTTAGTCACTGAACATTGTTGTTGTGTGTTGCACACATTAACACATATCTATGATCTTTCTCAGCTGCTTCTAGACCCACTTAAATGTCAAGAAGTGTGAGTTTTCTCCCTTACAGAATGCAACATATCCCGTCTGTAACTTTCCTCTGTCAGTGCGCCCCAGGGTGGCTGTGGCTACAACGTAGCTGCCATCACCAGTGTGTGAATGGGTGGATGACTGGATGTAGTGTAAAGCGCTTTGGGGTCCTTAGGGACGAGTAAAGCGCTATATAAATACAGGCCATTTACCATTTACCCTCTTTCCAATCAAGAAGAAACATTTATCCACTATTTAGAATACGGACTCTTCTGTTCATTAATTATGTACAGGACCTCCTCCTGGCTCTGCTCTTTTGTTCTGCGGGTAGATGATTTAAATAAAGCATTTAAAGAACAACAACAACTTGCAAATATAGTTCATTTTCCAGGTTCCGTTTTCTCTTACTGAAGCGAACAAACTGACCTGTGAAAAGCGGCTCCACAGCTGGACTGTTCCAGAACAGCTGTCTGGAACACACGCGCAGAAGAGACATCTCTGAAAAACAGAAACCAGCAGTTGTTTTCTATGTACTCCGCCTGCACTTATACAATGACGTTACTGTTTGTCGACTAACATTTACGCAATTTTCATCATCATCTAGCGACGAAAAGTGATCGGCGAGCCAGTGCAGTGCTGCATGCAGCCAGCAGGGGGAGATAAAGGCTAAATATCCGCTTTGATATTGACTCGTCGGTTTAATTATTTAATTAAAATACAGCTTCACATGTAGAAAATAAGGTTGTGCAATTCATCCAATTTTAATCTAGTTCGCAGTTTTAATTTTCAGTTAAATTAATGAGATCAAGCAGTACAAAAACGCGCGCTTTGCTAACAGAATGCAAAGGAAAGCAGAGCAGCCGCTCCCTGAATCAGCGCTCAGCGCTGCCTGCGTGTGCAAATCACAGCTGGTCTGGACGGAAAACACGGGGTCACAGTTTTTCCAAATTTGTCCGATAAACCCACCGAGGATGGAAGGCTTAGGAGAATGTTCACAGTACAAGACAAGATACACGTGATCTCACAGCTGTGGAGGACTTTTCTGTTTTGTTTACACCACACAGGCACAATGAATGGAGTGTTATTTTTACGTGCAACAAAAGTATTTTTCCCATTAAACTTAAATAATCATGACAAATAGTCCCGATCTAAACAGTGATAAAAGAACAATTAAATATACAAATACAAAACAACAGCAATAATAATAATAATGACAACAATAATAAACATATGCATGCCATATTCTTTCTTTTTATCATGTGCACCTCCGCATTTACCAGTGAGTTAAATCGATGAGTAATGTGATGTTATTCTACTTTATATTTCCAGTGCACCAAATTTTAGATGGAAGAACCTTTGCTGTCAAATTAAGGTGGCAGCAAAAGTTATTAGAATAAAAACTTTACACAGTGAATCATAAACAACCAGCCAATAAAATAATGCCACCTAAGAGGTTAAATGAATGGCAGTCATCATCCCTTCAAAATGAACATTTTCATACAATACTCCGCACCACCACACACACACACACACACACACACACACACACACACACACACACACACACACACACACACTATGGCCCTAGTATTGGTATATGTTGAAAATATAAAATTTCAGACACGACTTGCAATTAAAATACTTGAACTTTATTTCAAGCAGCAGCTGTAAAATAATTCTTTGACATTAAAGCATGCAGAATGATAATGTAATGATATAACATTATTATTAACAGTCACTTAAAATGCAGTTTCGTTTTGGAACTTAGCCCTCTAACTGTTGTACAGCACTGTGCGCCTGGAGTGTTCAGCTGCCCAGATGAAGATCGAGAAACTCCCTCTGCTCTTGTACTGCCAGTTGACAGTGGAGTCAGCTGTTTTCACAGGACAAAAAAGTGTTGGGCACCTGAATCAAGTGAGAGAAAGCAAAAGCACACACCCAGTATATACAGTCCAGTCTCATATGAGTCCAGTTCACAGAGACACTGGCCACAGCATCAGCTTACAGTTTTTTACAGACGCTAGGACACATGTCTCAATACTTAGGTCACGTTTGCAAAACTCCTCACACAGTGAGCACAACAGAAGTCTATGTGGGCCAAACTGAGGACCAGTTATCATTGTTTTGGCACAAAATGCATTCAATGACTACATCTCTCAAAT